GATATCCCACAGAGCACACACAGCCCCCCCCCCCCCCCCCCCCCCCCGTTGGTGGCGCCAAGCGGCTTAAGCGCCTGGGCCACCCGGAAACCAAACGCATGACGCCAAGAGGCTTAAGCATCTGACCCGCCTGGGAAAACCCAGCGCACTGGCGCCAAGAGGTTAAGCGCCATGGCCCCGCCCAGGGTCCCAGAGCCCCCAGCAGCCCCTCCCTTATTATGTCACTACATCTGTACGATCGCCATTTCACCGTCCGCACAGATCATGCGGCGCTGCAGTACGCCTTGCGGGTTCATACAGCCATCGGGACCAATTGTCTCGATGGTTGGAGATTCTCCAAGATTTTGATTTGAGGACTACATATCGTAAGGGCATTTGCCACACGAACGCAGACGCCTCTGTCGCGTTTGCCACCCACCGCCGAGTGCGCTTGCCTCCTGGGTTCGGGGCGTTGCAGACCCTCCGAATGTGATCTCCGATTCCATTGGTCATTGCGGCTGCCGCTGAGCGCCTTCAATTGCGGGGTCCTATTGAGCAAGAAGGGAGGGATTCTTTGCTGGGATTGTCTGTTGCGGAGTGGGGGGCGCCTCCAAATGGAGGACACCTCCCTCCTCGCTTTACGCCGTCGCATCGGGGGAGTTGGTTGGGGGGCGGAAAATGTCGACTCGTGGGGGTTATTCCAGGGTCTTTTGATGCATTGGGACGGGAGATCTCGCCGCCACCGGCTGGTGGTGCCTTCCACATTGAGGGGTAGAGTGGTGTGGGCTGCGCACGAGCGACTCCTTCACCTGAGGACTCACAAAACCCTTACCATGCTCCAACTGGATTTTTCTTGGCCGGGCATGGCAAGGGACGTGGATGATTTTTTAGGGTCGTGTACTCAGTGCGCGCAACGGAAGCCACCAGCGAGGGGGTCCAACCCACCATTGCAGTCTATCAAAGTTTCCCGGGTTAACGAGCTCGTCGCGCTTGATATTCTGGGCCCATTCCCCGCTACACCTATGGGAAATAAATACCTATTGACGGGTGGAATATTTTACGCGATGGCCTATGGCCTGGCCCCTCGCCAACCAGTCGGCAGCAGCCCATCGCGGAGGCCTTTGTCCAGGGCTACGTCCTCGACAAAGGTGCTCCGGAGCGGCTGCTGACCGACCAGGGTAAAAAAAATTTGGGTAAACTTCTCCACGAAGTGTGCGTGCTCCTGGGTACGAAAAAAATTCGTACCTCCCCATATCATCCGCAAACTGACGGGATGGTGGAGCATCTGCATCGGACTATCACGTCCATGCTGTCCCAACAGGTGTCTGAATCCCAGACCGATTGGGACCTTCATATTCCGGGGGTTTTGGCGGCCTACAGAATGGCTCCTCATGCGGCGACCGGATTTTCGCCCTTCTTCCTAATGTACGGTCGCGAAGGTAACCCACCTGTCGCGACTCAAGCTGCAGATCTCCACGCCGCATGCTAAATCCAAATTGACTGACCATGTCAAATTCAACATCGCTAAATTGACAGAGGCGTGGGAGGCGGCCATCCAAAATTCAGAACTCCGCCAGAGGGCGAATGAAAGGCTCAGGCTGGGTCGGGCACATGTGCTCCAGTGGAAACCGGGTGACAAGGCGTGGTTGCACTGTCCCCAAGTACCACTGGCGACCTTGTCTAAGCTGGTGCGGCCGTGGCGGGGGCCCGTCGAAGTGGTGCAGGTCTTGCAGCCACAATGTGTACGTGTCCGATGGGGGAAGCGTCGGTGGTTCGTGCACCCCTCCAGGTTGAAACCATTCGTTGCGCCCCATGTTCCTACCACACACACGCATGGCCAAACATGTGAGGGGTCCACCGACTCCCGGAGTCCGACTTCGCTGCTTTCGCCTGACTTGCCACCGACTGTTCCACCTCCAGGTGCACCAGGATTGAAGTGCTCACGACCGCCAACCCCTCTCGGGGGGGTCGGGGGTCGCTCATCTGCGAAGCCAGATACTCTCGCACCCGGACTATTGACACCCACCACTGGGCCAACCGGGGCTGCCCCTTGTGACGGTCCCCGCTGCAAGAATGCGCGCCAAAACGCGCAGACTTTTGTGAGATTGGCCGCTTGTGCGGCCCTTGCGGGGGTCGCGGGGTGGGGGGGGGTCCTAGAAATTGTATATATGTTGTTGTTTTATGGGATGGGGTATTTATTCGGGGGGGGGGGTGCGTCGGGTTATTTTTCTCTCTCTTGTTGTTGTTGCTGTTGTTGTTAGTTACGCGAGGCACACACGGGTTTGGGGGGATGCATCTTATTGTGAATTTTGTTGCAGCCGGGACGGCTGCGGGCTGTACAGGGGGGGGGGGGGTGATGTAGAGGTGTTACGGGAGGGCAAACAAACACACCGGGCGTGGTTATGCCCCGTACGCGAAGAGATGCTTACATCCCACATCCGCACCGTTAGCCTGGGGGGCTAATGCGGCGCTGGGATCCCCCACAGCCCCACCCCTCGGTGGGGGAGTTGCTATATAAGGCGGTGAGCCAGAGGGCTCGGGGTTCAATGTTCAGCTTAAACCAGCGAAGCAAGAAGACCGGCTAGATAGGCCCTGGGACTCCCCTGGCTCGCCGTCCTTCTCAGGACCGACCAGGGCAAGCCAGTGGCGTGGCCCCGAGAGCCCAGAGCCGATGTTCTTCTAAGAGCCGGTCTGGGGACTCAGGGTGCCGTAATCCCAGCTTAACTAGAGCTGGGTCAGCTAGCCTCCCCGAGCCCTGTAGTGGAGGACCTAGGATTAGGCTAGCCGGGACAGAGATTGTGGGATCTCCCTGTTAGACGGGTGAAGGGGCCGATACCCCTTCGAGTGTTGTATATCTCGGCCTGTAATATACAACTGTGGTTAATAAATAAGTGTGCCTCCGACTACGTCGTCCAAGTCTCCTTGAACCTACTACAGTGTGTCTGTATGTTCAATCTGTCTAATATGTGTCTATGTGTTTGTGTGTCTGTGTATGTTCAATCTGTCTAATATGTGTCTGTGTGTTTGTGTGTCTGTGTATGTTCAATCTGTCTAATATGTGTCTATGTGTTTGTGTGTCTGTGTATGTTCAATCTGTATAATATGTGTCTATGTGTTTGTGTGTCTGTGTATGTTCAATCTGTCTAATATGTGTCTATGTGTTTGTGTGTCTGTGTATGTTCAATCTGTCTAATATGTGTCTATGTGTTTGTGTGTCTGTGTATGTTCAATCTGTCTAATATGTGTCTATGTGTTTATGTGTCTGTGTATCTTCAATCAACACCCAGGAACAGGTTTGCAGATTTGCTGAGCATTTCTGTGAGGTCCTGGGGGAGGGAAAATCTCTCAGCCAGGAAAACATCATAGAACAAAGTGGGGATAACCCTGCTGAGGCTGCAGTGCCTCAAATATTGGAAGAGGTCACCCCCTGTGAGTGGCTGGCTAAGGTGCCATCTGTTGAGGAAGTACTGAAGGCGATCCGGAGTCTGAGACCAGGAAAGGCACCGGGCAGAGATGATCTCCCAAGCGAAATGCTGAGGGAGGGTGGCGTTCGTGCACAGACTGCCCTATATGACATCATAACAACAGTCTGGACCGCTGGACGGGTACAGCAGGATTGGAAGGATGCCCTGGTGGTCCCCCACTTTAAGAAGGGGGACCACACAGACTGTAACAACTACAGGGGCATCTCACTCCTCAGTGTGTCGGGAAAGGTCCTGGCAAGGATTATTCAACATCGCCTTGCTAGGCACGCTGAGAAGAGGCTTGCGGAACCCCAATGCGGTTTTAGGAAAGGGCGGTCCTGCACAGATGCCATATTTTCTGTCCGTCTGCTACAGCAGAGGTGTAGGGAATTCCAACAAGACCTACATCTCTGCTTTATTGACCTGGTCAAGGCCAGGGTTGCGATTTCCGCATGGAAAATGCGGAAGGAGGGTTCAAATTTTCCCGCATTTTTGCTAAAGTCAACCGCAAACGGTGGAAAGACTACTCCTATGACCGCGCGCTTTTAACAACACGTTAATGCGTTCTATTGGAAAGGATACATGCAAGGCCCAGCATCACGTAGGGCTTTGAGTTACTGATTGGAATGAATATATGATTTCCGCATTTCCGCACAAGAACCACATACTTTATTCAAATGCGGAGCCGTGATTACGAGCACATGTACTTTCACTTCTTCGCATTCTTCCAGCGCTTCATGTCGTCTTCGGCGTGAAAGATGCTGAGTTTTGGCTTGTCGCGGGCGCAAACTATAAGCGCGTTCAACTGCTTGCACGAGAGGAGCAACCACTCCTCGGGCTTGATGTTGTTTTGCAGAGAGAAAGCCCTCTCACAGCCGACCGACCTGTGCGCCAAAGTTTTAATCGTTAGCAGTAAAGTGTATATATTCGCAGGAGGTATAAAGTAGCTACGACAGAGGCAAATGAGCGTACGCTGGACAAGGATATTACCTGAGCGGAAACGCGTGTGTATCTGAGCGTATCGAAAACAGCGTGGGTATCTGAGCGCTTGGCCAAAATTACCAGTGGATTTCCCAACGCGCTGCAATCTGAGCGACGATGAATAGTTTTGCATATCGACAGAATATGAATAAAGAAAATGCTACAGTTTTTTGTTTTTCCTTTGTCGCTACGAGTACTGCGAGGGCTCCGAATAGCAGACGCTAGGAGACATCATGGGGCTGGGCAAAAGGGCCTGAGCACAGCGCCGGGGGTTGCGTCGATCCGGAAAGATGCAACCGTAGGGATTCCTATCGGCGACAAACATGTCAACGGTGGCGTCGTGTACTTGTGGCAAGTGTGCTTCATCGACGGCATCGACAAGTACTTCGACGCACAAGAGCTCGCGGCTCTCATTGATTTTTTCACAGTTCGTGCGCACCAACAACGCTGTCTGAATGCAGGAATCCATAGTTCATATATACATATCGTTTTTTCCAGAAGTCAGCAGAGCCAAATGGGCATACGCAAGATATGTGCGCCAACCGCGCGAGTACGGCACCGAGAAAGGCGGGAATCGAAGTCACGATTTGCGGAAGTCTTCACAGGAATCACCGCAAATTGCGGAAATTTGTGCGGAAGAGGGTCACAGAAACTACCGCAAAATGCGGTCGAAAACAGCATGTTTGCGGAAATTGGTGCGGAAATCGCAACCCTGGTCAAGGCCTATGATACCATCAGTAGGCCTGGGCTCTGGGTTGTTCTCTGTGCTTTCGGAGTCCCTGACCCTCTGCTCACGATCATTAAGGACCTTCATGATAGTGGCCGGGAGTCGGAGCCTTTCCCTGTACACCTTGGGGTGCGACAGGGATGTCCTCTGGCTCCCACATTATTTAACATCTATTTCGACTGCGTAGTTCGTGAAGCCTTCAATAGCTGTACCGGGGGAATTTCCATTTGGTACAGATATAATGGGAGGCTGATCGATGCCCGGGTGCGATCAAGGGATGGCTCCCTAGTGGTCAACCACGTTGTGTATGCCGATGATTTGGTAATAGCTGCTCATTCAGAAGAGGAGTTGGAGACGCTGCTGCTGAGACTGGAGCGTGCCACTAAGAGGTGGGGCCTTACCATCAGCCCCACCAAAACTAAGCACCTGCCTGGGTATTTTGTACCATCGGACACTCCACCCCCACAACTCCCAATCGGTGATGGGGCAGTTGTGGAGAGAGTGGAGAGTTTCCCATACCTGGGCAGTGTGCTTATGACCGGCTCCAGTTTATCAGCAGAGGTCTCACTCCGAATCAGTCGAGCGGAAATATCTTTTCATCGGTTGCGTAACGCTGTGTGAAAGCTACCTCGTCTGTCGCTCCACACGAAGCTTCAGGTCTTCTCGGCCATGGTCATTCCCTCCCTTCTCTACGCTTGCGAAACGTGGACCCCCTAATGGAGCATCTTCGCCGGTTGGAAACATTTAGGCTGGCCTGCCTACGATCCATCCTGGGTTTAACCAGGCTGGATTGTGTGAGGAGCTCACAAATCCTTGAAAGATCTGGGCAAAGTCCCATCGGTGAGCTCCTCCGGCAGGCAAGGCTGCGTTGGCTGGGTCATGTAGCCCGCATGCCCAGCCACCGCATGTCTAAACAGCTTTTGTTCGGCCGGATCGAGGGGGCTAAGCGGGCGCGGCACGGGCTAGAGAAGAGATGGAGTGATGTGGTACAGGAGGACGTGGAGCTGAGTGGACTTGCCGATGACTGGTACCAGCGGTGTCAAGATCGGCCTCAGTGGAGGAGGCTCGTGAAGGACGCTACTGGGCAGTTGGAGGCAGTCGCCCTCCAACAACAACGGAGGGCGGAGGAGCGACGCTCACAACAACGAGCGGAGTGCCGGGTGGCTAAAGCACAGCAAGTTGGTACAGTAGGGGGCACAGGTGGTGCATCAGCCAGTCATCTCGGTCATCTCGGTCAGTCGACCCGTGGCACCTGGGTCTGCCCGTGACCTCCTGCCAGCAGGCGTTCGACACTTCACGTGGCCTCAAGGTGCACTTGGCCTGGCACAAGCGTCGTGGTGACGTCACCGCCACTTAGTGGCGAATGGCGGTTGTTGTTGTTGTTGTTCAATCTGTCTAATATGTGTCTATGTGTTTGTGTGTCTGTGTATGTTCAATCTGTATAATATGTGTCTGTGTGTTTGTGTGTCTGTGTATGTTCAATCTGTCTAATATGTGTCTATGTGTTTGTGTGTCTGTGTATGTTCAATCTGTCTGCTACAGTATGTGTCTATGTGTTTGTGTGTCTATGTATGTATGTCTATGTATGTTCAATCTGTCTGTTGTGTGTTTATGTCCATGTGTTCTCCGTGTGCGTGCCATATTGAATGTCTGTTATTTTAGTCGAGGTTTTCTGTCGCCGACCATTTACATTCGCCATGAATACTATTGCCATAGACATACCCTACTAAAATCACTCAGGAATGTCCTTAACGCTCGTGACGTCACTCCACATCGACCACCCCCCCCCTCATTAATATTCATGAGCAGGTGACGTCCTATTCTTGGGCCTTTCGGTAAAGCAACGGAGATAGTAAAGTCACGTGGGTGGAAAAGGAAGACGATTGCTTGTGTGGCAATCGAAACTTAGTGATCTATTTTTTTTTCT